GAAAAAAAAAACAACACTTTATAGTGCTTTGGATAGCTCCATATTGCCTTAGAGGTTTCTCCATAAATACTTTTGTAAAATTTATGGAGAATTTGATTTAATTTGATATGACTCTATTGAGAATAAATATTTTTAAAATATTTTGTTCGGTTACTTTGAAAAGTTTGTGTTTACCATCTTAATATAATAGTTTGAAAAATCTTTATAACATTTCTTAGTAAAACAATATTTTCTCTTTAAAATAGGAAGTTTAAAATATTTTAACTTAAGAATCAAAACTAAAGTTACCAAATTATATTGTTATATTGTGTGTATGAATTAGTATGTAACAGCAAATCTCACTATTATGTATAATTATAATGTACCAGTAAAATATATGAACTTGAAAAAATTTGAACTACCAAATATTAAAAATGTATCTATTAAAACTAACCAATTTTTTTAAAATAAAGATGATCAGCTGGACAGAGTGGCGCATACCTGCAGTCCCAGCTACTTGTGAGGCTGAGGCTGGGGGATCACAAGTTTGAGGCCAGCCTGGGAAACTTAGTGAAATCTTGTCTTAAGATAAAAATAGAAAGGTCTATGGATTCAGCTCAGTGGTAGAATGACAGAGCACTTGCCCAACATGTGCAAGGTTCTGGGTTCAACACCTAGCAAACCCCCTAGATCAAATGTCTGTGTGATCATGGCCTTCCTGTAACTCAATGTTTTTTCCCTTCCTGTCTAGGAGGGAGTTAATATTTATGGTGTGCTAGTTATGTGCTAGGCACCGTGGAGGCCTCTTCATTTCATTGACTCCTCATTATTGCCTTTATTGGGATGTGCTAGGAGATTCCTGCCTCGGAGACCGTAAGGCTTTCTTGACATTTAGCCTTGTAATAGTCCTTGGTCACTAGAATGTAGTGTTGCTTTTCCTGTTTTTCTTAAGATGAATTATGAAGATTTTAACAAAAGGAGGAAATGAAATAGAGACATTTTATAATATTTATATCTTCCATTATTGTTATAATTTTTTAAATGTGCTATCATGTTGTGATATGTTCATTAGAAACTATGGAAAGCCTGCCTCTCAGCATTCCAAATTATAAAATAAAGTTTGTGGTTGGATTGCATCACTGTCAATCATTCCAGGTTAAAAAAAGATGGGTTGAACCAGGCATGGTGGTGGACACTATAATTCCAGTGACTCAGGAGGCTGAGGCAGGAGGATCCCAAATTTGAGGCCAGCCTGGGAGATTTAGTGAGACCCTAAGAAATTAGTGAGATCTTGTCTCCAAATAAGAAATAAAAAGGACTTGGTATGTAGCTCAGTGGTAAAGTGCCTCTGGGTTCAAACTCTAGTACCTTTACCTCACCCTCCAAATAAAAGAAAAGGAAGATAGGTAGATCTGCCTCAGGGAAAGTAGTAACTTTTTTTTTTTTTGGTCTACTTTCCAAGAATGATGGGTGAGGCATATTGTGACTCAACATATAAAACATTTTGAGGGAGGAAACTTCAGCAATAAAGAACTGAAAATCCATTGTAAATGCTTCTTGCTTATTAATAGTATCTTGAATAAAAAAAATAAAAAAAATTTGTTGAATAAAAATCTCATAGATATCTTAGAGTTCTTATATTTTCACTCACTGCCTCATAAAAATATTACTTATTGATTTAGGACTTGACAAGAAGAATGGAGTCTTACTGAATATTGGCCAGAAATCCCCCTAAGAGAGATTCTTAAATACATGCTTTCCACATAAGAGAACCCGAGGTTCAGGGAAATTAAGTTGCTTGTCCAAAGTTCAAGGTTAGGAAATGACAGTTATATCTGTTTCTCTGTTTGCAAATTCAGCTGCTGTATGCATGCCTTTAGGTGCTCAGAAAGCTTGAGAGTCACTAAACTTCAGAACTACTACTTGTAATTCATTTTGTCTCTGAGTTTCACTTATGATTTGACAAGTACTGAAGAACTCAGAAAAAAACAAAAAACTAAAGTAAAATGTTTACTCCCAGGAGTCCTAGCTAGTGTCTATTTATGACTATTATAAAGTTATAAAGAATCTAATAGACATGTAACCACATTCTTATTAAATATCCCTATGAGTTTGAAATTGGGGAAATATATGAAGACCAAAACTATTTTTTTTCCTATGCATAAAGTTTGTGCATTACCTGCTGTAACTCCACATGGCCAAATATACCTGAAAATGAGAATCTAAAAATAGCAATGATTCCTGAAACTGTCATCTGTTGTGTTTTGTACTCATTTCTGTACTATTATGAAAACAAAGAACTTGGCCAGAAAGCACCCCATGTGTTCGAAGAACTTGAATAACTGAAATTCTCCACTAGCAAATATTAATTTCAGTGGAAACCAGAGGCTGCTTGGACCATAAAATATTCTTTCCATTAGGAAAAATGGGTAAGTAGCTTGAATATTGCCTGTTTCATTCAAAATGCCAGTGTGGACATGAGTTCTTGTCCTGAGGAATAGAAATGAATGAAAGGAAAAAATTACACTATGGATGGAAAAATGTAGGAAAAATGGATATATTTCCAATATCTGCTAGTCTGAAAATTAAAACACACACACATTATGGAATCTAACTTGGCTAAATGTCAACAATGTTCAATAGCTAGAATTTAGTAGTATTAAAACTAGTTCATGTAAAAATGAAATTTGCCAATAATATGGGGAAAAGAAATTGAGAAGAGATTTATAATTTAAGAAAGTTTATATATAAGCTTTACTATAATAAATTAAAATTAATAACATATAGTAGTTATTAAACTACTATAGGAAAGAGTTTTGATAAGGAGAAAAGAGCAAATAAGCAATTTGCACATATGAGAAACTGGACATATTATTTATCTTGAAAAATGTTTGTGAGCCATAATTCTGCAATAACATTTTAATGACTTCCCTGGATTGCAAAATATTCTAACCGAAGTCCTATTCTATCATGTATCAGGGTGTATCTTTGCTTAACTTTGTGTTCAGAATTCTATGAAATTTTTGGTATCTTTTATCAAACTTTCTGGGCTTTTATTTTGCAATCTTATTATTATAGCTATTCCTATTTCTACCTATCTATCCACCTGTTTTTTTATATCTCTATATAATTTATTTGTATGCATATAAATATTATCTACCTATATAAATACACATCTGTACAAACTTTGGTTTAATCTCCCAAATTTTATCATTTGAGCTTTACACTTCAAAAACTTAGCTTGCCCTACTTTCACATTCATTAGCCTTTATGTTACTTGCCCTATTATTTTTTCAGTTCCTCATTGCTATTGCTTTTGCAGTAACACAGGTGCTCTGCTAATCTTGGTGAAGTGATTTGTTGAAGTAATACAGGTGCTCTGCTCGTCTTGGTGAAGTTTTGAGCTGAGTTTTCTGGATTCACTGCTGCTGTGCCGCAGTCTGGCTGGGCACAAATAACCGGGAGGTCACGAGCCACTTGTAGGTTCAAACAGGAACTACTTTATTGCGAGAACTCCACAGGAACTCAATGGGAACTCCGCGAGAACTCAAAAGTAGCGGGCACCCGAGGTAGCAGGAGCTGCCTTATTGCCCGACAGCAGAGGTTTATATACACAACTGAATACACAGCTTGTTTCAATTTAGCATCATCCAGTTACAGCAATCAGTCATTATCTTAATAATTATACACAGCTTAACTGCTGGGAGCCATTAGCCAAGTAGGTATGACAATTTCCTTGCCAGCGTACCCCATGTTGCTTAGTGGAAGGACTCATGGAAATAGGACATTTTGCAGTGACATTGCATGTAGGTGACCTTGCTCAAGGACCAGGGCAGATTAGGGTGTTCCCGGTTTAGGATAATCGGGTTTAGGGCGTTCCAGGTTTAAGATTATTCCTGCTGGGAATAGGGCGTATCCTGCTGCCTGAGTTCCCCTTGAGTTCTCACGGGATTCAGACAGTATTTTTGGGGAGAGAGAAGCCCAGTGGATGTGGATTTGGGCAGAGAACGTGGATTTCCCCAGAACGTGATTGTAGACAGCTGGTGTGAGTTCGGGAATAAAGAGTTGCTGTTTGAATCTACAAACTGTGTGGTGGCTCGTGATTGTGTGCCCAGCCAGACTGCGGCACTTAACTTAATTATCATCATCTTAATGGCTCACTGGTGCTACCCCTAAACCACTCCTTCTGGCAAAATGTCAGGAGCCATCTTGACTTGGTTGTTGCTCTCAACACTGCTGTTCTGAAAGTCCCAGCTGGGATTAAAGGGAAGATAGCTCAAATCTTGAAGTACTCTTAGCACTAGTTATTGCACAGGTGAGGAGTACCCAGGACATTGTTGAGCTCCCTCAGAGGAAGAGCCATAGTTTCTCTAATTGGTTGGACATTATTGCTCTTTATTGATCCCACTAGACTTGGGAACATTTTACCTTTTAAATTTCTCTCTTCTCTCTCTGTAGCTGATAAAATAGGCTTTATTATTACTGTTGTTGTTGTTGTTGTACTGGGAATTGAATTCAGAGGTTCCAGTCCTTTTATTTTATTTAGAGACAGGATCTGAGTTGCCTAGACTGGCCCCTTGATCTTGGAGATCTTCCTGCCTCAGTCTCCTGAGTCACTGAGATTAAAAGCATTTGCCTCCACACTCAACGGATAGTTTCGAATTAGATGGAAAAGCACAAACATACAGTATTGTTCTAGAAGGGAGTTATGAATCAAACCTCATTTGGTTAACTACATTTAGCACAAAAGATCTAGAACACATAGACTACACAGACAGGGAGTTTAGAGTTAATACGTCAAAGCAATCCTAAAAATAAAGCTGTATTTTTGTACTAACTGGATCTTGATTATTATTCTGTCTGTAAAATACAATGTCCAATATAGTAGGAACAGAAGAAAGCAGACTCTACTTTTATTATATGTATTTCTTATCTTTATTTTCTGTAAAGAAAAATTGACTTTGTAGTTCCTAAATTTAGTTAAATTGATGGACAAAAAATGACTTGAAATTCAGCCTCACCTTGTTCACAGTAGATTCCAGTGGTTCCTAGAGGACAGTAACAGGTGTACCCATGAGGCAATGAAATACAGGTTGCTCCCTTGCTGCAGTGGTGTGGAGGGTCGTGTTCAGGATCACAGGAAGTGACTGTCTCTGTGCAGAATGCTCCTTTCCACCCTGTGGGACAGTTGCAGCTGTAGGTTGAGAGAGAAATTAGCACTTGAATAGGGCTGGATATACTCTTGTTATCACTCTGATGTAAAGTTTGCAACTTTAATTAGGTCCCAAGATTACCTAGGTGCATTGTGATTCAAGCAATCAAGATCCAAATTGTCAAAGGAAAGCATTAATAACTGGTTATAAGATTACTGAACTCCATATCAAGTATTTAAAAAGGTTCAAAGCATGGAAATAGAAGATTTTATGAAAATAATTTCTTTCTTTTTATTTTTTGGTATTGGGGAATGGGGTGCTCTACCACTGAGCTATATCCCAGCCCTTTTATATTTTTTTTATTTTGAGACAGGGTCTCACTAATTTTCTGAGGTTGGTCTCAAACATGGCAATTCTCCTGCCTCAGCCTCCAGAGTTGCTGGGACTACAGGCATGTGCTACTGTACCTGGGCAGAATAATTTTTTTTGACAAAACCACACTGTAGGTCCCTCTCCTTTTCTGCACACCACCAGGGGGAGGGCTGGGTCTGGAGTTTCTGCCTCTTAACCTTAAATCTGGAGAAAGGAGATTCAGCAGGATTACTTGGAGAGTTTCTTATATGTTCCCTTGTACAGGAAAACACAGAGGCCTAGCTCTTGAGGAATCTTGCCAGGGGTGTGTCACATATAAGTGAATCTCAGGGAAGGTATGCAACACTCTTAGAAACATCAGACAGAGGGCATAAAAAAGGGATCATGCACAAGAGCTGTCCTCCCGGCTTTAGAGACTTCAGTAGTAAAAGGCCGTCGATCAGCTTATGCTTGATGCAGACTATGAAGGCTGGCAGGGAGGACCCAGTTGGAAGAGAGACCTTGCTTGGGTTTACAGTGTAATACTGGGAGAGGCCCAAGTAAGGGAGTTGCTGATGGACCGACCAAAGGTAGGAGTTACCAGGCAAATACAGGGCACTGGGTAAATTTGAAATGTCTGATAAACATTGATTTTTTTTTTTTTTGTACGTGTGTAAGCATATCTCATACTGTATTTGAATTTCAGGTAAACAGTATATTGGATATGCTGAAAATTATTTGTTGTTTATTTGAAATTCAAATTTATCTGGGCACCCTGTATTGTCTCCTTTTCTCCCTAAATCTGGCAGCCCTCATTAAATGACATAGTAGAGTGTCAGCTTTAAATCGCTGCCAGAGAGGACTAAATCTATTTAAAATAGTACCAAAGAAGCACATTCTAAGATAGGGCATGGGGTCTAGGGTTAGAAACCAGTAGGCTGAGGAAAAGCAACAGTGGATCACACCTCCTTCCCACCACCTTCCATTCAAACCAGAGTCCCTGGCTGGGTTTCAGGTACCAGTCTTGAAGAGGCAAGTATTGATCAGTATATTGAAGTGGGTCCTTTAAATTAATGAGTTGTTTGAAAATTAACGTGTTTATTTTTCAAGTAGAAACAGAAAATTCAGCAGGCTTCCCCATGTTTCAATTTAGGAGCACATAAATGTTGAGTCCCCTATGCAGGTACAAAAAAGAAAGTGATAAACACAAGCAAATTTACTTTATGAGTACATCCATGAGTCCTGGGTCATTTTTTTTTTAATGCATGACAATTATTTTATTTAACACATTGATTTTTGAAGGAACAGTAACATAACTATTTCAAATCAAACACACACATAAACAAAGGGTCACTCTTTTTTGTTCTCAATGTATTACAACGGTCATTATTTGCTGGCAAACTATAGATATAGTTGACACCAAGAGCACGCTGGGGGATTTGAAAAGCATCACCAATGTATAATTTCTACTGTAAACAAGTCAAGATAAGGCAAGTAGAAAATGGAAGTGTCTGTAATTTTGTGTTTTCTTTACCCCAGTCGTTAACCCTCACAGATTCTATGGATTGAAGGTAGTTTATAACCTTCCTAGTTGGATCAAACTATATGACACACATTATATACCATATAGAAGGGAAATGAGGACAACTGGCACTCTTTCTGTAAACAGTGTTAACGTCCTTTATCACTTTACAGAAACAACAGATAAAAATATTATAAAATTAAAACAAATCACCTGATCCACTTCTGATTATGGCAAAGCTATTTTTTACCACTTAGCATGTATCTTACTACTATTTTGTTTAATCAAGTTTTACATTTTTTTTTTTTTTGGCACTGGGAATCAAACACAGAGGCACTTTACCACTGAAGTTTATCACCAGTCCATTTTATTCTGAGACAAGTTCTCCTGAAGTTGCTGAGGCTGGCTTTGAACTTGTGATCCTCTTGCCTCAGCATCCTGAGTAGTTGGGATTACAGGCACATGCCACCTTGTCCAGCTAAGCAAATTTTAACATTAAAAATGCTTTGCATTGTGTTTTATAGTCTCTTGTTTAAAATCAATTTGAAGTACATTATGCATAACATGTATAAATACAGTTTAAAATTAATGATAAAATGAATGTCTTTGAACCTACTTTACCCCCAAATCTCCCAGAGAATGACCAGGACTTTGAAGGTCACATGTGTGCTTGCCCTGAGAGCCTCCTGACCTATCCTACAGGGAGCTGACATTGTCCTGAAATTCGAGATAATTACTCGCTTCAATTTTTATTCAGAGTTGGTTTTAGGATTCACCTGTGTAGACCTGGTTCATTGTCATTGCTATATAACTTGATGAATAGAGGGTCATAATTTCTGTGTCATTGAAATTTTAATATTTCCTTTTATGGTTTGAATTTTGTGAGACCCTTATTTGTGAAATTCTTCCATATTACAAGATCAAATAGTTGTTATATGTTATCTTTCAAATTACATTTTTGTCCTTTACATTTAAGTCTTAATACACCTAAAGTTATTTTTTTTGTGTGTTCAACGTGAGGTGCAGTTAGTTCTCCATGTGGACAACCAATAGTCCTAGCACTCTGTTAAACAGTTCACCCTTTTCCACTGATGAACCATGTTGAAAGGCCTAGATCTAGTTTAGACTAATATCTGGGTCAATATCACAGTCTTCATTTCTCCAGCTTTAGAAGTCTGGATGTCTAGAGCAGCAAGTTCTGCTACTTTGTTTTTCTCTTGAGAGGTATATTAACTATTTTTAGCCTTTTTCTCTTTCAGGTATTTTCTCTTCAACTAGTTCAAAGTGTAAGATAGGCAAATTTACCCAATGTCTCTGTGTAAAATGGCATTTGTTTCTCATTTATTTTTATACTGTGCATGTAGCTGTTTTTGGTTCTAGGCCTGTGAGGAGTTTCCTATTAGGTTCCCTATCTGAGATAATTCCATGGTAACCTATGTTGCCCTGAAAGGGTAAATTTAAAGTCTCCAGGTTTCAGTAGAATTCAGGGCAAAGCCAACTCTGAGGCTTACTCCTCAGGATCTTGCTTTCATTTCATTTGGGCTTTGTAAATGGATTGTTTTCACTTCAGATGGAAGGAAATATTCTGAAAGTATACATTTTATATTTATTCAGATTTGAGTATTTTCATTTGGAATAATCACTCAGTATATCTAATTCTCCACAAAATCTGCAAAGAGAACTTCCTACAAATAAACCTAAAAAGTCTTTACAATATTTATAAACATCTTTCCATGTTTATTAACTTCTAATCCAAACCTTATATTTAATAATTGAATATTATGACATTAAATTGATGAAATAAAATTCATTCTCATTGTTATTTGTGAGATATGTTATGTTTTTAATTTTCCATTTTCTATTAACAATATTGTGATAAAACTCCTGTAGCTAATAGATCTTTGGATACCTTCAATCATTTACTTAGGAAAAATTCAAATGTCAACATGACTTCTTCGCTTTAGATGCATATCCCAGCCTGCCCACCATAATAATTGTACCAATTTACATTCCCATTATCAGCCTATGAGAGTGCACCTAAAATAATAGAATTATATGTAATCGAAAATGTGGATCATTTTTACAGGCTTTTTGAACTGTACTGACCTAAAAATGATTTATTAAAGTAAAAATGATTAAGGGTCTACATACACATATTTATAAAAATATACTCATTTTGAATTCCTATTTTCCTTTACTACTTGATAGTATAAATCAAATTTATGCCCCATAAGGATTCATTTCTATCATATATATGTATATGTATATATATATATATTTATTTTTTATATTTTTTATTTTTTTAAAAAAATTTAGTTGTAGATGGACACAATACCTTTATTTTATTTATTTGTTTTTATGTGGTGCTCAGGCTCGAATCCAGTGCCTTACATATGCCAGGGAAGCATTCTACCACTGAGCCACAAACCCAGCCCCCCTATATATAATTTTGGTGTCTATTATGTACACTGCATTAGGTTAGGTCATAAAGGGTGGGCAGAAGACCTGTAAGGAGTGAACTCTAGCTCCAGGAGAGGGGAGGCTTGTAGGGTAAAGGCCAGCCAGATTGCAGTTGCTCAGGTGTCCAGTGCATAACACGGAAAGATGCTGCTCAAATCCAGGAGCCAATGGATGAAACACAAATAACATGACCAGCAACTTGTTCACCAATGCACTGATAGTCTTTGGTTCCAGAAGGAATTTAAAGTGCAAATTTTCATCTATTTGGAATTTATGGCTAGAAGCCTGAGGCACATCCATAAAAAGACAAACAAATATCTTTGGGGCATTAAACAGTATATTTAGATGGGTTGTGATGAAAGAAAACATATGCTTGTTGCATATAAATAAATAGTTTTCGATAAAAAAATGAAAAATTGTATAGGATTTTCTAAAGTGAAGACAAAATGCAGAATACCACAGTTACGTATGATTTTGATTATTGTTTAAAGATCACAAGGAGCAGAAATGTGTAAAGACCTTTTATACAAAAAATAGAAGGAGTTACCAATTTCACAAAAGAAATAAAACTATAGTAAAAACGCTACTTAAAATTCTTAAAGAATTTAAAAATAAAAATAAAAAATTTATTTGTAAATGATGATTGCACCCTCTAGTGGTTCATTTTTTGTCATTTGAAAAAAGACAAAGCTAAGTACAAAATGTCTC